GTTTTCCTCCTAGAACACCCTGAAATAAAGCTATTATCATTTCCATGTGATGCCCCTTTCCCTATCTGAAGGCCTCCCTCACAGCATTCTCCAGCTTTTCTTTCTGGCTGTGCTCTAGGCATGAGGCTGGTATTTCATTAGCAGACCGGCTTTCCTTTGCTTGTAACTGCCACAGCCTGAGATGTCGTACTAAAATCAAGCAGAATCTAAAAGGTCTTGGTAGAAGAACTAAATTCTCTCTGAGATCACAAGATATCCAATTATCTCTTTTCTATCTATCTTTCCATGACAAGGGAAATCTGTCCACTCCTGCCTAGGAACACTACCAGTTAAAACATATATGCACACAAAGAGAAGAGGTTTAATTTATTGGTTGCTCTTTGGTAAAGGCTATGTAGAACATTATTAGGGTGAAAATTACATTCTAATTATAGATTCATGAAACTTTAAGCCAAATTAACTTTTATGAGACTATCAAATCCCCTCTCATCCTCACACACAGCAAGGTTACCTCAATCACAGTCTATATAATCCTTTGTTATTTTTAAATGATCAAAGCAGGCATGATACATAAAGCAGTTGATATTAAATATCTTGAGAAATGACAAATCAATAGAACTACTTTTACTCTTAAGCATTCACTGGTCACTTATAAATGTTCTGTACATACACTTTTCATTTTAGCTTTTCTCCTTAAAAGGATTTTATTTTTTTTGAACAATTCATCACTTATCTGCTATTTGTTTGTATACACACATCATAAGTTCTCCACAATAACATTTACAGTCTTTCTTAATATTGCTTAGAAATGTTGACCTTTAAGGAACATTCAGTTTTTTAAAAAAGTTCAGGTCTTGACTTTGTAAGGCATATTCAGACGTGTCAAGACTTTGTTTCCCCCTGACCTGATAAAAGTCTCCAATGTAATACTAGGTAACAGCTTCTTTCTCAACTCAGAGGAAGTCAAAGAAATGAGAAAAAGAAAACATGCTTGCAATCACAGTGACCAAAAGATTTCAATCAATAATTACATTAAATAACCATAACTTTTTGTTTAACTATTCACATTCCACACAGTGGAAATTATCCTTTCCTCTAGATTTTTCGCTTACACTTATAACTTTGAAGAACTACAGTAACAAAAAAACAATGACTTACAAGATGTGTGTTTTTCTCTTTTAATGCCAAGCACAAAGTGTACATCATAAAAATTCATATTGGGTGTTTGGCATTATTTTAATAGATAAGATCAAAATCGCAAATATCTTGCCATAAAAAAAACTACTGTAATAACAAAAAAAAATTATATCATCAGTGACTCCAATAAAATATTAATAGATATGGTATTTTCAATAAATGTTGGAAGACACACCATACTTGCACTGATCTTAATATAGGCACAGTAAGAAAAGCAGACATTTCCCTCTTTGGGTAGCGATGTGCTTTTAGGGTAGTTATGCTCCTGATTATCCCAGTGAAGTTAATTTTGAGGAAATTCTCTCTACTTGAGCCAAATCTGACTTACATGCAAGACTGTGGTATAAGCTCCTAAAAGAAGATTACTGCTGCCAACTTAAGTGATTTCTTTTTAACAAAATTGCATGCTTGTGGCTGAGTTAAAACAACAAGAGAAATTCAGTGTTTGCTGGTTCTGAATGTCCTTTTTCCTCTCTGCTGTGGTTTTATGTTTTCAGCTTCTTCCCCTTTCTTTTCCTCTCTCCCACCCTCGAAATTCTGCCTTAGCATTTCTGGGTTTAATTAAATCCATTCTGTACTTTATTGTTGGAGAATGTGGATCATACAAAGATTGAGGGCAGGAGCATACAGTGTATACAAAACACACAGACTGTGCATTTCCACAAATTCACCTAGTATAGAATCATCAGTAGTGAGTTCAAACGTTTTAAAATGAGACCCAACATTTTAGATGTTCAAGAAAACTTCTGCCTTAAAATGGTTCCTGTGTAGTTAGATAGGAGAACACTGGGCCAAAACAAAAACAAAACAAAGACAGCTTCTTTAAGTTGCAAGGGTTCTTTCAATGCTGGAGTCCTGATGGGCAACTGAATCCCAAATATGGTATTTGTTTTCCATGTTATATTTGACTTGCTTGGTGAGGCTAAGAAGATACAAGGCAAAAAGAATATTTGGGGGAAATGAGATATAAAAACACAGGCCTGAAGGGAATAGGTTGGCCAAATCCAAAGCAAGGTAAGGTTCATCCATTCTGCACTTCGATCATTAGATAAAAAATTCTCAGTAGGCCTCGTTAGCAGGCCAAGTTTAATCAGGCGACAGCACTGAATGGTTACAATAGGAAGGGGATCACAATAGCAGTACATAGACAGCTAAGGAATCCAATGCTGTGCTCTCTCAACAGGATTTCCCCTCAGACCCTCAGAGGTCAAATGCAGAAGGGGCAGCGGGTGAATATAGCCCTTACATCCCTTCCAGGTACTAAGAGCTTCCTTGGCCAGAGGCAATCACTTGTCACTTTCCTCTTCTCTCTAGCTCTAGCCTGTAAGGATGGTTAGAACAAAAAGACCCAAAATATACTTCTAGCTGAAATGGGACATGCCCTAAGCTCTTTTGTCTTAGACTACAGTCAGTTACACTCAGCAGAGGCAGAATCTTTATAATACAGGTTTGTGGCTCTTGGAAGTATTATGCAGAAATAATGAAGTATAGGTCAGGTGTGGTGGCTCACACCTGTAATCCTAGCACTCTGTGAGGCTGAGGTGGGTGGACTGCTTGAGCTCAGGAGTTCCAGACCAACCTGAGCAAGAAGGAGACCCAGTCTGTACTAAAAATAGAAAAACTAGCCAGGCATAGGGCAGACACTTGTAGTAGCAGCTACTC